GCTGTTCTGGTTGATTGGGCTTCAGTTTTAAGATGGGTTAGGGTAGGCTTTAATTGTAACGTTTTGTCCTTATCGCATTGCTTGTTGTAAAATATAATGACGAAAGTTCTAAAGCACTAACCCCTAATGCCACAATGGCGCCATAGTGCAGTCTAAAACGCCGTTACGACCGGAATCGCGCGCCCAAAACTGTTACACCTACATTCGTATGCACGTTCAATTTCCAAATAAGGTATGTCACTGCTAACATTCTTTACAAAGCCGTTATAGGAAGTAAGCAGTCATTTCCTCCCCCTCACCCCCCCCCAAAAAAAAACAAGTGAATAAGTTTAACAAAAAGAGGCGAACATAATTCTAAAAATGAAGACGGATGAAAATCACGGAAATCACTAATTTGCTTGGAAAAAAACCTCATAATTGACCCTATTCGCACTGTCAGCGCTTTATCAATTCTTAATCGTATCCTGTTTTATGCCACTATGGGAACAAGCAGTTTGCCTCTCTCTGGGCAAAAACCTGGCAACACCCCTATTCTCTTTCTGTCATTCCTATATTTGGTTCAAAGTAAACTTTATTTCCGTTTATGTGAATTGGTACCTTGAAGTTCAAGGAAATAGTCTTCAATCTGAAAAAAAAAACTTGCAGCAACAGATTTCCCTTTGTGTTTTTAATTCTCAACTGAGGTTGCCAAACTTTTACCAGTGTAGTATATTCAAGTCCGCATACATTTCCCCACCTTTTGTGAAAGCGGAAAGTGAAAATATTGACCCTATGGTGCTTGCTTAACTTTGCATGTAAGACAGGTCCAGCAAATTGAGTCATGTTTGGCAATGAATCATGGGCAGGTTTTTTGCAAGCGGTAATCATATTCCACTTTTCAAATGTCGTAAGCTTCATTAAAGGATGTTGTATAACATACACAGAGATCTGACCAAGAGGAAATAAACAAAACCAAATTTTGTCTTCGAGCTCTCAGCTCCAACACTTGAGGAGTGCACTGATAAACAAATCGATAATACAATTGACTTACGATCAGGAAGACGGCACCCAGCAAACAAGCCTTCATATCCACAGAAAGGTCCAAAGGAACTGCAAAACATGGAGTAATTTACAGACTGATCGTTTTAGGTTAGGTTAAATTAGAAATGAAGTTCAAAAGTAATCCAATATGTCTCCTTGAAACAATTGGCACAAATTCCCGTGGCAAGATTTAAATCTACATTTTCCACTGTATATTTAATTAGTGAGATCTTAAGGTTAAAAAAAATTATTCCGCGTCCACCTCTTCCACATTTTCTAGGTACTTGGTATGGAGGGAATTGTTTTTTTCATTTTATGGATAGAGCATAGGAGGTGATCCTAGCGCTATACGTGGATCGCTTACGTTGGCTTGACAGAAAGCCTCAACAAAGGGGGTGTGCTGAAGCATGTTCATGAATCTGAAAAAGTATTCACTGTCCGTTGGTATGATGCAGCCTTTTTCTCGTGCAAACATTTATTTTAATATTTATTTTTTAATTATTGGTGAGTAAATAAAAACAAAATCCAAGTCATTGACATAATTATTTTAGGTCAGATGGGGACGCGAAAGAAGTAAGTTTTTATTTGGCCAAAATAGGGGCGAGTCACAGTTCGCTCATCATCTAGCACCCCAACAGGGCGCTGAGAAGGGCTCACGACCTTGCACAGATTTTAGTGAAGGAAATGCGTCACACAGGGTCACATTTAACGACGCACAGAGCACTGTGGGTAAATTTCTGCCAAGCAGGTGAGCTTGGTCAATTTGTTACACAAGTGGCGGTTATCAATTCCATATGTGTTCTTTATCTTCATTGCTGAAAATATTCCCACATCATTTTATTCGTTGATCCAAAATAGATCAAGATAACCAGTGATTTGATAAAGACACGTGATCAGTGATACTTGGTGAGAAGATAAATTACCACACTGTGATTGTACCAAGGTCATGTTTTTGTCATATAGCCAAATATTGCCACTGGCAAACCCCAAAAAATGTAAATAATGCTTCGCTCAGAGGAAGTGATAACCTCGCGGTCACAGGTAGTGCACGATGCAGCCAATCACAGTGCAAAGCCGTCAGCTGTCCTCAGCGCCCTGTTCAGGCAATGGGTGATGACGAGCGAATATTCACAGTAAAGTGCGCCACAAAGAAGTTGCCACAGAGAGGCCATTTTTCAAGTTTATGATAGACGTAAGCATGAACGCCTCGCCGCGACTTGCTTTTTGCCTATGTCAGTACACAACTTAACACATTGACACATGTTTTTTCAATAGAGAGAATGACTACCGTTCAAGCTATTACACGAAATACACCTCTTCCCTGATGAACATAGGGAGGAACTCAATGTCTCCGTAGCGTGCGCAGCAGGCAAATATAATTCTTCGGCCACTCCCACAATGCACTGCAAAAGCTCGAAAAACCTCTTGGGGTGCAGTGTATTGTGAATCACCTGTATTCTGGTGTACTTACAGTTGACGTTGAAATTATCTGCCTTGGTAAAGGCTTCCTTTACGAATCCACCCCACTGCTTGCTTAGCTTGCCAACCTCTATGTTTGAATCTTCATTCATGACCTTAAAATATAAATTGGCTTGCGGTGATTAATTAAGATACCACGTATTCCAGATTCAATAATGCCAAATTCGATGTCATTTTGATAGTCAAAATGAATGCTCAGTTTATGTGTGGGTGAAGTAAGTAATTATAAACTGCCACTCGGTGATTCAAATTACAAAAAATAATTCCCGAGAAATAAAGCCTCCTCATCGCATTTCAATTTTCTGAAATGTTGGCCTAAAAACATGATAGTTACCACTAATTACCAATTCAACCACTTTCAGAATAAGGCATGGGCTGCTACATCGTGCACAAAATTACTTGACAAAGGGGTGAATGTTACTTACGTTAAAGTCGATGTCACCAGTACAGCAAACATTCTGGCAAAACCAGAAGGGGCCAAGGATCTTCAACACGGGCTCCTTAGCCACGTTCAAAAGGTCGAAGTTAGGATACCACCAGCTTTGCCTAGGATAGACCGACGTGGAACATAAAGGAGCTTACTATTACATCCCAATCCCTCGGGAACTAAATTCTGTTCCGCGGTTGAAGACAGCCCCAGTAGGTCGGTTGGATTTCTCACTGTAAAACCCAACCTCATGACCCGTCCCAACATCTGACACTTTGTTGTGAAGCTCTGCCCATTGGCCCAACTCAAGCCGGACCCAAAATGGCCACGCAGTTGATAAAAAGCCAACAACCCCCCCCAACGCACACACACACTTCCAACGAAAATAGTCATTTCCGTCTGCCATTGTTTGTTAATCACTCCTTTTTTTCGTGCTTGTAGACCGTCAAATGCGTAGAATATGGAAAGCAGAGCGTCAGCCTGTTACGTCAGAACGTCAGCCGCTTCAAAGAGAAAACCGTTGGTGGAGTTCATATACATAAGTATTTGAATGACCTCTCAAAGCTTGCTGTATTGTAAGACTTCATAGCATCTATTTTGGGGGTGTATGAAAAATAAAAGTCTTGAGGTCTATGTATTGGTGTCTTACGCCTGTCTGACGTAGCCGATGACATTACCGACCGGTGCCTCAACAGCAATGTCCATGGCACAGCAGTCAGCATTAGCGCACCAGCAGCAGCCCCCGCAAATCTTCAACTCGCGACTAATCCGAAGCACTTCCTACAACAACAAACACTGAAATTCTGATCACATCTCTAGAGTACCAAAGTGTGACGTCAGTGCAAACGATTGGTGTGCACGTGCGCGTGTTGGTTCATGCTCGGGTTCTCACAATAATGCATTGTACGCACCACTGGTATCCATCTGGAGATCAATGTGCGCGTGAGGTATTCACTTTGATACTGCATAGTAGGCCTATATGCCGTTTCTGTCAAAGATTTGGCCTGCCAACGTTTGAAGGCCTAAGTTTGCTAACCGCCTGTCAGTAAGTGACGAAAATAGAGCAAAGTGGAAGAAATCCCCCCCTTGTAAATATGTGCAATAGATTTGTTCATTCACAATATAAACCTCAAATACCGACGGGCATGTCTTAACGATAGAAAGTGTTTCAACTGCGTTCCCCGTAGAAATGACCAACCAGTTCCTTTCCCTTTTAATAGCGATCTAGATTTCCCAGACAACGCTGTGCTTTGACAAAAAAAGAAGAAAAGAATATTCCGACCTGGTTCATGTTGTCAGTGACGTGCATGGTGAAACCACGTCTTGGACCGCAACAGATGCGTTCACAGAACTCCGACTCTGTTGGAGAAAAAAAATAAAGGAAAACAACGAACTCCGAACGTGTTTGCAGTTTTTGACCTGGCTCAACAGAACCTTCTTTTCTCTAACTGAACTTTCAATAGCATTATACACACAAAGGTGTGCTTACTTAAAACGATAAAGCATGCAACACTGTAAGGCACACTGTATGTGTTGTATTTTCTTTGCAGGTCTGTATTCGTAAATCAAATAGGCGTATTAGACAGTTTGACTCCCTTCAGCATGTCTGCTATATAAAGGAAGAATTTTTCGGTTTGCAGGGTCAGTTGAATGTATCTTTCGGATAAATATCATGGCTACCTTATCGACCAATCTAGTATTTTAACTTGTTTTAGGCGTATATTTATCAATTTATCAATTAAGTGTTATTTTAATGGTTTATCCTTACTGTTTTGTCGTTATTAATTGATTATCTAATATTTAAATTTTTTATTGTTAATTGCTTGTGTTTACTGGGCACCTTTAGAAAACAGTGATCCACTGAAAGGTTTTCCCAGGGTAAACAAGAAATAAATAAATGAATGAAATACCTTCGTGAGCAAAGTAGATCTGCTGACCTAGACTGTTCTTCACTTGGTATCGATTCTGTGTCTCAATATCCGTGACAACTAGGAAAGAACAATAAACTTGTTAATCCTCAAAAAGTGGTTGACCACGATAGAACAAGCAAACAATTATTTGATTTATATCAAAATATGTTGAACGAATTACAATGAAAGGGAATGTGCCAGCAGTGCACTTCGAGTACCTTCGTTTTGGCTTATACTTGTCATTTTCCCAAGATTCGACATGAGGTGTTCTTTAGAATGGGCAACTGAACGTGTGGGTTGAGTTCCACCCCAACTTCAGTAATTGCACCGCATCAGGCTTCTATGATGTGGGTGTGGGACATGCAAGGCAAACTACGAAACTTTCCATCTGTCCAGGAACGTGGAAGGTTGTAGGCCAGCGATTCAAGAGTTTGAACTACTTTTGAGTTTCCTACCTGGTAGTTTAAAAGGCGAAGACGGGAGTGGTGCCCAGGATTACTAGCTTGTTTTCTGTGTTACTCAGGTAAGATATGGGCCCTCCAGTAACACTATTTTAAAAATTACCCCATGGAACTTTTTTTCAGAAAGACTGTGAATGTACTTATTTTGGAAAGGTCTTCTCTAGAGAAAAGTAACCCCCCAAAAAACATTGAAATCAAAGAATGCTAAAGGAGGTTCATTCAATTTGTGCAAGGTCATTAACGATTTGTGAGCACTTTCCTTTCCCGTCAATGGCATTTTCTGTCTGATACAGCACAGTTAAATTTTTTCAAACATGCAAACTCACCCTCAAAAAGCTCCACCTGTTGATGGACGAGTAGCTGGTCGACCTGCGTCAGATATTCAAGACCTGGTGGACACCCGGGAACCGCTTGCGGGTGAGGCATCCATTGTATCTGCCCCAGCGGCGCAGGCGCACCAGATGGAGCCACCACCTACAGCAAGGAAACGAGAAAAACAACCGCCAGGGTCTGTAACTCTTGCGCTGAAATGCAAGTAAACAACACATATCCGCGGTATCTAAGCAAACACTGGCCTTTTGTGGACTTTAGCCCCGTAATAGGACGCAGGACTCAATTCCTCAAATATTCAAGTTGTATCCTGCTTGACCCACTTTAGGTACGAGATCCATCCTTCAAAAGAAACGGAGCTTCATTTCAAACGTACAATTTTGACAGAAAGTTTGAAAAATGTATTGTGCGTTAATTAAACGTAACGCAATTATATCCATACGGTGACTCTATATTGAGCCACTCCAGTTTCTGAGCAACGTTGAACTGGGTTACATTACTATATTTAGAATGCAGTATTGATTTGTCATTTTAAAGCATTTAAACAGTGCTCCAATCATTTTCCTTCTAAGAGTCATTTCTACTGAAAAATTGCTTCTTCTTACGTTTTGACTTTGGCCAACCTGTTGCAAAATGAACGCTGCTGGGTGGCATCAGTAACACGTTTTGTTCCACAGGATGAGACAAACTTGGGACTGATATTTAGAGAAAAATCCGTTACCTTGTGGGCCGTACGTATTTGCACAATGCGCTACGCGCTGAAGTTCTAGCATTTTCAAGCAGCGGATTTCATCAATGCTTTGACAGTCTTTTTTCGGACTATGCGGCACCCCTCAAGCCGATGACGGGAAAAGATTGGTGCAAGTGACTGGTCACACTGCCACGTACATGTACATGTCCCATTTGGTATTGATCGGTTTTAAGGGTAAAAAGTGAAATTTATCGAAACAGAAGCTTCCATTGAAAGGTACTATGGCGCATTTTAAAAGCCTATCAGTGAGCCTAGTGGGCTACTCCACATTTAGACAGATACTTGTGCTCTTTAGTAACTTACTGGCTGCATTCCACTAGCCTGGATCTGAGGCTGCTGTGGAGAGATGTAACCCTGCTGTGCACCAGCAGCAGGCGGGGCAAGTATGCCAGCCGCTGGCCCTCCATCCGGAACGGTACCAGCACCGAACGTCTGGTATTTCACATCAGAGGCCATTTTGCTTTTGAAATGAGAGAAGTACTTTTGCCGACTCAATGCGATGAATTTAAGTTATTTGGCTCCACACAGATTGGAGTTTAACGTCAAACTGAACTTTGGTCTGCACGACCGAACGAGCTCTTGCATTTCGGGTCATATTTACACTGACGTGTGAAACATCGGTTTGAAAAGAAGCTCCACCAAAAATATAACTCGTAAAATATGGCACTGACCGGAGTTCAAATCTTACAGCGTGAAGAAATATTTGCCTTATAATCCCTCTTTAATATGTAATGTTGATCTCGTACAACCCTAACACTGCTCAGTCCTCCAACAGGTGAAGGGTTGAGGAGTGTTAGGGTTAAAGACTTGAGTCAAAAAGAGGCACCAGATCGTACGTCAATAAGGCACTGATTTCAACTGCATACGATGCATACGCGCTACTATTCATGATACTTTGAGAGCATGAGATGTGCCCGGAATATTTTGGGTGGGACTGGCAGTTTCACCTAAATTCAATTTTCAGAACAATTACATGCAGTTTTTTTTAATGGCGCCCTCTACCGTTACAGAAAGCAATCACGGGTTGTGTTTGCAACCCTTGTCTCCTGCAGTACATTGTGCGCGGAGACAAACCAATGCAAATCCAGTCTTGCGCTGAGGCTAGCATTAATTACCTACATAACTACGTGCTCCATTATACTCTCCACTTAGGTTCTGTTTACATTTCAATAATGATTGCAATATTGACTGATGAGCACCATGCAAAGCCATGCGTGGTTGAAGAAAAGTGGAAGTCTTGGAAATGGCATTACTTGTTTAAGAGAGTGACAGTGCGATTCGGTGCCTGGTACAGTTGACTGGGTGCCTTTCAGCATTTCACTTTCCGAAGGATAATTTATACAGGAGATTTCAGAACAATGCACAGGGCATAATCCCTGGGGGTAATAATTATTTCACCGTAATCTAGCAGAAAACAACTGTCAAATGAGATGTCATTGCAGTGAAAATGCCTTCCGGTGCTGCTAACAGGCGTTTCAGGCGGACAGGGCTTCCTATAATAAAGTAGGGCTAGTGGCATAATATGCCACTACTGTCTCTTGGGTTTTCGCTTCATGCAAAGGTCAAGTGCATCATGCAGTGGGCTAGGCGAGTACAGTCATGGAGAAAGGACAGCTTTACGAGCTGCTCGATGATCGTTTGCCACCCGTCCTTTTTTTCGAGGGCCTTTTACTGTTGAGTTACAGGTGCCATTAAGTTCGAACTTGCCCTGTACGTAGAAGAGACTGGACACTCTGATGGCATCACATGGCAGGCCACGTCATGTAGGGCTGCGTTTTTTAAGCCTTTAATCTATTCAGGTATAGGTCCAAAGAGGTTCAAATTTATTATATACCTAGACAGGGGCGTATATCTACACATGAAAATTGAAATCATATTCAGAAAAAGATCATCATACCAGTTGACGTCAAGTTATAAAGGTGAATTTTTGTATCTACAGTACCAATTCAAGGGTAAATGTAATCTGTGCAATATGTTAACAATAAGGGACACCATATCACAGGGAAACTTAAATTAACAACAGCCGAAACAGCTTATGAAATCGTTATGATTTCAGTTTTGGTAAAGAGATAAGGTAAAGGATTTGTGAGGAGTGAGGATTATATCGTAGCCCTACTATTGTGAGAAAAAACCCTTAATGTTATGCAAAGGAGACTGTCAACAAACGCAAAGTGCCTGGGGATAATTCTTATTACTAATAAGTCTGCAGATGCAAAATTAATGTGAATATAGACCCTCAAAGTTGACTCCTATGGCGCGCTTCCGGAACCATTGGAAAGGAAAAAACATGCGAAAATGTAAGAATTTGTAATATTTTGTGGTTTAGTTGCTTCTTAAAACTTCAACTCGTAAAAGGTCTTTGGTAAAATATTTCCTGGCATCAGTTATAGGAACTTATATGTGCCTGACCTGAATGGGAAAAATCCTGCCAAATACTGACCTATCACAACATAACAGGAAATATAAAATACATGAAGAACAGCCCAACGCGGTGGTCTTATAGAGGATGAACAGTCACGGAATTAAATTTTATGGTAGTCCTCCGATGAAAGCTGAAATAAAAACAGACTAGAATATGTTAATTTAAGGATTTTGTTATTGGTAATGACATAAACATTAAAAAACAATCTGCTTTTACTACAGGTTCTAATGCTTAATCGAACCTTAGTGCAGACAAAAACCCCATCAGGTCAACTTAAATAAGTCTAGAACCCATAGACTGCAGGTAGAGGTAAGTGTTTGCAAAGCTGTACGATCTCGTTTTCATGTAAGCACGGGGAACGCAAAACAATCCTGCAAAGAGAGCTAGGAACGATGTTGCTGGAAGAGAAAGACCGTTGTAGAAAATTCTTCTAGGAGACTTTTCCAAAAAAAATTGTTAATTAAGGAAGACAAAGGAAAAATTGTGACAATTTGGGGCGGTTTCAGTTAGAAATCATTTTCCCAAAATTATCAAACGTGATTAGACGGCCCCACATAAAATCCCCAAAGGCAGACTACGCGAGTGTTCTGAAATTTTCAGGCTCTATTATGACCCCTCTGTAACTGCACTGCAAATATGGCTGGACTATGGGCTGGACGAAAGGTCAAATTCCATAACGTCAGCGTAGATTCCCGACAATTGTTGGCACACAAACAAGACTGGACTGCACTTTTACGTGCTGTACAAAATATTCTATTGTGTAGTCCATGTTTTGCAGATGAGCGTCTATGATATCTGCGCATGTTTGGTGAAATTACGAAGGTTGATCGTTTGACCCGTCAATTATTTTCTACCAATAAAAAGACCCGGATCAAAGGCCTTTGGCAACGAAAGTTTTGTCACTTAGTCACCCACACTTACTCGTGCCTGGCCAATGGTAGAAGGACACGCATACGTAGCATTTACATATAAGGGTAAACGAAAGACCTCGGATTCCTTAAGGGCCCAACTGGGTTAGAAAGTTATGCAGATTTGCATTTTCAGCACGAATTTGACATACCGAAAAGAGAGCACGTAAAATTGACCCTTATTTCACTTAACTCACTTGACTTAAATACAATTTGCCTCTTTATGCAATTATTTTTCTAAAGTAGTTACAAAAGCATCGCAAATCGACTTTCCTTCGCACCGCTTAACTAAGCCACCACGTTTTTGCATTGCCTTGTGGGATACTTTTCCAAGTATATAACCGGCTCAGCGGGTCGGTTCAAATACTTGGGTCAGGCCCGAGCCTGCGAGAAATGTCACGTGAGTATAAAATGGAATGCACTACTAGGCGGTTCGAAAAAGTGAACCCATGTTCAATTTTCAAACAAGTACTCATCTGCAGCTGATTTCGAGCAACCCACTCAAAGGATAGTTTCCCCACGCCTCTTTTCTGACAAAGAGTCCACAATATTACCAGGAGTACTGTTAAAGCTTAACTCGACCTCACAGGTTAGCTAGTGATGGTGGATCTCTCCGAATAATATTCATTTTAGTGCACATGCACATAAGTCCACAGTGATTGAGAGCAGTGGCTCTTTAGCAGCTGAAAAGATCAAGCGCTGGTCTGGGCCGCCATTGAGAACCTCAAAGACAGTTCCCCTCCGGCCCTTAGTATCGTTGGTAGTTGTCTAGGTTGTGTTCAAGGACTTTTCAAATAAATGCAGCTTCATTTGGACAATAGTGCTTTGCAGCTAACACGACTAGGCATTTTTCTACAGATGAGTGACTTCCTGGCTTGACCGATTCTATTATGTATTCGTGTACATTTGCAAACGTTCCCCGATAACTCCATCGAGTATTGAAGTAGTACACCTCACAAAGCTGGGAGGGTTTCAACCGCAAAAGGCACACCCACACTTGCTGATCTCAGGGTAAGACTTGCTTGACAATCATCAGAATGTAACGTCTGTTCGTATGGGAATCCCATGCAGAGTATTTGTTTCTTTGTCTAACTACATGTATAACTTTATAATTGTCAAAGTTTAGTTGTAGAAATTCGACCGTCTCGCTTCGACGTCCTCACGGCATCATGTTCTCCATCAAGGTGGTGGTGCTTTTCGTCTCTTTTGCTCACGTCATTGAGGTTGCACTGAGTGATGATTCAAGGAAAGATAGACACCTGGAGGATCTACTTAAGCGATTCATTGAGGCTCGCAACTCCAAACGTTTTGGTGGGGCTGACTTGTTTGGCAACATGGTGAGTCAGAGACGATGAGAGATACAGGAGTCTTAGTAAAGACCACCATTCGAAGCCCTCTAGCCACAAATCTGCATCACGAGGCCTAACGTACACAAGAAAGCCCTAAGAAAGAGCAGTGCACAATCCTTTTGTTTTGTTTCTGTTGTTTCGCTTAGTCGGGGATAGAAGTTGATGCTGAGGTTCAGAAACTATATGACGACATAAAACACGATCATGCCTACCCGTGGGCCATCTTTAAGATCAATCCACAGAAGACTCGAGTGATTGTCGACGCCAAGGGTGCCAGAGGCTACAGTGACTTCCTAGACGCTCTGATGGCATCAGGGGAGCCACGATACGCCATTTTTGACACTCCCAAGGAATGGGGTGGGGAAAAACTCGCTTTCATTTCTTGGTACGTATTTACTTACATTTGTGCAAGTGTTTTTAAATAAGGCATTTGAAACAAGACAGTGTCAATCTATCATCCATTACCATAATGGAAAGACTGATTAACGACTGACCTCACAAACAGACTAAACAAAAATAGATAACTTTACTCATTTTTTGTAAGCAGATGAACGTTTTGCCGCGTAATCTGACTCAAAAGTCAAGATCTCACTTTCCTTACTTTCTAGGTGTCTTGACGATGCCAATATTGGACTCAAAATGATTTACGCCTCCTCTAAGGACACCTTGAAGAAAAAATTTGAAGGCCTCAGTATAGAAATGCAGATAACAAACAAGAACCAATCAATCAAGGAAGAATTAATCAAAGGGATTGCGAAGAATGCCTGAAGTCTACTTGCTGGCAGGCCATGAAGACTTCAACTTCTCTGTTACCGTAAAATGTTTGAGGGGCAACAGGGATCATACTCCCGTCATTAAATTTATTTTAATTAATTGAAATTATATGGGAACACATTATAGACACTGTATTTAATCAACAATAATTTGATGAACTGTGATGCACGCGGAGTTTTTGTTTTCATTTGAGATTTTCAGGTTTTAAAAACATCAAGTGATTCCCTTTTGGAACATATACATTGGTGGGAATGTGTTGCAAAACGTTACCCTAAAAGTGATGGGGTCTACGAGAAAAAGAAATTTCAAGTTGTTTACCCTTTTGTTTGTCATTTAGGATTCATTAAATGACAGCAAAATAGTTGGCTTTGCATGTAAAAGCACACAAGTTTAAATTTCTGGAATAGCATAATTTAATAGATAACGGCCTCTTTAGCTATAGCAGAAAAAAGGTTTTAAAAAAGTCTGCCTTGATCTGGCATATGTATCATCTCTAGACTGAGAACTGTAAAAGCTTATCTATGATGGTACACATATGTATCTTAGTAGGTGCTGAATAGATGAAGAAAACCGCGAAAAATAGTTGACTGTTATATATCTTTCAATTCTTTAACTATTACTTTTATTTTTGTAATTATTTCTTCACTCACGATTTACTTCTTATAATCAGTTTGTTTTCTTGAGAGGTGGATGTAATATTCTGAGTTTTTATTCTTGTTTGAATGCTTTTCGTTTTGTAGTAATCTGTATTGGTAGTAATCTGTATTGGTTTTCCTGGCCGATTTCAGCTAAACGTATTTCGAATAAAAAAGTTGCACTTCATTCACATATTCCTTTGGTTCTTTCTGGCAGTTTTCAAGTAATCACCCTGCTCAGAACAATGTTAATGGCATAGTTGCAATAGTTAAGTGGCTTTGGACCTTTTTGTGTGTAAGTTATCTAAAAGCCGAAGTTAGTCCCGTTCACCCCCCCTTAAATGTCGATATACATTCTATACGTGTACGTAGCGAGCACAAGCTTCCCTTTCTGTAACTTTATCGTATCGTCATTTTATTATAGGGTCATCGTTGTCGACTGGAATACTGATTCTGTTGAAATGAAGTTAGAAATATACTAATTAAGTTGCTCATGCACAGCGAATTGTTGCCCCATAATGAATTTTTGCGTTGGTAAAACATCCCGTTGGCTTTTTTAAAAGATAGATCTTTTCCTTTTGATTCACTGCAGCTTTAATTCTATTTACTTGCTTAGATGACATAACAACAGCGCCCTCAGTTATCAAGGAAAGCATGGATAATTTTAGAAGTTTTGAAACGTGAACTTTCCAATGCATTTCACAAAACAGGAATGTAAAAGAGTTTCATACATTGAAGAAGTTCCAGCTATACTCTAAGGGAAAAGTTCTCAGTCACAACAGTTACGCAAACAATGACGATGACTTCAGACTTTAAGGTTCGGCGTTTTAAAGATAAGCTCCTCATTTGATATTCCGAGGGCTAAAGGGGCCTTTGCCCAGACCCCAAAAAGGGAGCCCCCTCCTTTGAAAAATATTGAGACAAAAGTCTGACTGGACTTTTCACTTTCCATCTGATGATTGGGGCCAAGCATGGGTCACAGCGTTGAGCTTTCCTAAAAATCTTCCTCGCCCCAAACTGCAAGAGTTTGACTCAGGGAACCACACATTACTTGAGATTCGTTCCTGTCACTTTCTTTTCGATCAACCTTGATAACAATCTGCATTGATAATGCATCTACATTTTTTATGTTGCATACTAGGCCTATGGCATATATCAAACTCAAACGCGCTCAAGGTTTCTGACCACCGTGCAAGCTGACCTGGAACATTTCTGAAATTGTACAGTCATTGTAAAGACCCATGAGCAGTCCTCAATGTGGACCAATTTCCGTATCAATGTATAAAATTTTAAACAAAATAGATGATAGCCAATAGCTCTCGTCTTTTAACACTGTAATTGCCCTCAGTACGACCGACCTTGAAAACTTGCGTACGCTTTTACCTTCTGACCGTTTTGAATTTGCACATAACTGCACCAATGCTGGTTCAACTAGCATCTGTATCAACAAGAAGTGGCACGTAAAATCTGGAAATGTCAAGATAGGAGAAGAGGTTAATTTCTCCTTTAGTAGTCTGAAGGCTGTATCACATTCCTGAGTCCAGTTAAACTCAACTTTTTCCGTGCAAGTTTATGTAACGGTGCAGCCATGGTGGCAAAATTTCTTATGAAGCACCTACAATAGGTGCATAGCTCTAGAAAACTCCTAGCATATTTCAAATGTTGTGGAGTGGGCCAGTCACGAACCTTGGCCGTGTCCTCCGAATCAGTTTATACTCTCTTACTTGAGACAACGTGACCAAGATAACAAATGTCTGTTTGGAATTAGAAACATTTTCTTTGTTACTTGCGACCTGCTTGTGATAGCCTGGTAGAAACCTAACCCAACCGAAATATATATGCTCGTCGAATAATGATGCAAGGAGGAGAACAGATTTTCAGATGAAGTCCGCCCACAACCAATTCCATCAGCCTTTCAAACATTCTAAGGGCATTGCATAAAGGATGATTCCTGTTGTGAAAGCTGTCTTTTGCCTATCCCTATAGGGTTCAGTTTGACCTGCCAATAACCGCTTGCAAGGTCTAAGGATGAAAACCATCTAGAGCCAGATAGGGCATCAAGACTGTCATCTTTGCAGGGCAACGGGCAAGCATATTTAAGAGTTGCTTCATTATTAAATCTTCCTGTAATCTACGTAAAATCGTGTAGAACCATCCTTCTTTTTGACCAATATTATAGGACTTGTCCAGGAACTAGAAGGTGGCGATATCACACCTGACTCTAACATGTCATTTTTTTGTTTCTTTGCCTCTTGTTTGTGATGACACAGTAACCGCTGGGCTGGCAAACGCTGATGTTTGGCAGTTTCCGTATCAGTGTTATGGAATACAGTTTCTGTCCAACCAAGTTCACGTGTTTGAGAAAATGATTCCCTATGTGCACGTAACAAGTCTGTCAATTTATGTTTCTGTTCTTTTTCTAAATTAACTTTATGAAGACATCTGGTGATTTTGAGAATCATTTTTTTGTAAATTAGTTGCTCAAAACAAATTAACGGCCAAATGGAATGACCTTCCATCTAATCCTACCTCTGTTCATGCAAAACAGCCTGGTTTGTCACCAAAAAGTTCGGGGTTGTTATTGCTCAGTGTTTTTTAATTTACAATTTTCTCCATTGCGTTTTTGTCTTATAACTTCCAAACCCGTCAGCCAGATCTTGTACTTATTGATTGTAACTTTTTGGTTGACAATTCTATTTATTTTTGAATAGATGCACGTGAATTACACTGTTTTCAAATTGTTCTGTGACAAGAATGTGGAATCGTGTTGGTGAGGATGAAAAGTCTGTTTGATATGAAGTACATGTAGATGGCATGCTCTCAGGTTCCTTTTGGGTTTCAGTCTTATATTTTTCTTCTCTTCATTCTTCGTTGTTTCTTTCCAACAGAAACTTAAACTTCATTTTCTGGAACCTTATTTTTGCGACAATCTCAGTTTAAATGGACACAATAGCACTCTGTTTTGCAGCTATCTCTATGATGCAATTTGGGAGACGGAAAGCCGTACATTTAAATGTGCCGATTTCAGAAAATTTTAAAGATTTGGCTCATGCTCCTTGAATTTCTTAATTTTGGACCTGATAGCATCAGACATAGGGCTGAATTTTACTCCAGGTTCGTACCAATTCCTATTAAATGTCTTTTCTCTTTAAGGATGTTTTCATAGAAACACACTGCCCAGTCGCGATCTCTTCAGTGGCTACTTGAGTATAAATCTCACTCCTTGAAAAGTTTATCCGTCGGTAAAATTTCACTTTACCAGAGCTCGAAAAGTATACGTGTGCGCCAAACAGGATTACATGGCCGTACCTCACTCAAGAGGAATTATGGGATAAGTTCAGTTAAGCGCTTAGGTTAAATATCATGGACCATCTGGAGCACATTTCGTGGCAATTTTCTTCAACACGGTTCTCAAAATTTGACTTAATGACCGCTGTTTTTCATTTCTGTATGTGTGAAATAGTGGGGTTTTTTTGTAATATAATTCTAATTGCCTTTTACAAATTAGGATTAGTACTTTATGTTTGTAAATATCTTCTGTTTTTAATTCCCCAACCATCGACGTCCATCCTCCCTTTTCTCCCGTTCCTTATGTTCAGTTATGGTTTGTTCTACATGCATGTCTATAGATGTCGGCGTACTTTTTGATGACTCTCGCTCATGTCATATCATTTTGATTCTCATTTTTTATATAGTTGTAAATTTGACTGCATGTTTTATTGTGTATATACCATTGTCGTTAACAAGATGACTTATGTGATTTTCCCATTTTTTATGTTTTTGAACTTACAGATAGATTGTTTTGCAGTGCCTACGTAATTCAGCCGTATAGCTGCGAGAAAGCAATATGTAACAAACCGTAACAATAGCTTGCAGACGAGCGTCTATGAAATCTGCGCGTGTTTGCTGATAAATTACGCAGGTTGACTGCTTGACTGATCAGTTCAAATACGTATAGTATGTGAGAAACGTCACGCGAGCGTCAAATAGAACGCAGTGCAGGGTGGTTCCAAAAAGAAACCATGTTTAACGCGATTGCTCACCCACTTCCAAATTTTGGCCCCCTAATAAAAGCTTGCCGCTGATAAAAATGTAGCTCTATATCCACCTTTGTGTCAAATAAGTATTAATCGAACACCTGCAGCTGATTTCGTGCAACCCGCTTCAAAGGAAATTTTTCCGAAGCCCCATTTTCTGACAAAAAAGCCAACAATGTTACTGACAGAACTGTTAGAGCTTAACTCGACCACACGGGTTTAACAGGTGACGGTGGATTTCTACGAATGATATTTAGTTTAGAGCACACATAAGTCCATATAGTCAGTGAGGGCAGTGACCTTTAGCAGCTGAAAAGAAATCAAACGCAGGTCAGTCTGCTATTGAGAACCTCGGGGACAGTGGTGTCCCCTCCGGCCCTTAGTATTTTGGCAATCGTCTACTTTGTATTCAAGGGGCTTTCAAATAAATGCAGCTTCATTTGGACAATAGTGCTCTGCAGCCAACACAACCAGGCATTCTTCTACATTGTTACTGCGTTGACCGATTATATAATGTATACCGATGTGGCGATCTCAGCTGTCTCCTGGTCTCAGCGGTCCCCCTTACCAAATATGGTAAAATACGTCATGTCATCTCTGCGCACAACAACGGAAAAGTCGTCCGTTTAATGTCTGGCTATTCAGGGGGGACTGCTGAGACCGGGAGACAGCTGAAGCCGCCACACCGGTACATTTGCAAACGCGCCCCGAGATCTCCATCGAGTATTGAAGTAGTACACCTCACAAAGCTGGGAGGGTTTCAACCCCAAAAGGCACACCCACTCTTGCTGATCTCGGGGTAAAACCTCCTTGACAAATGCCAGAATGTAACGTCTGTTCGTATGGGAATCCCCATGCAGAGTATTTGTTTCTTTGTCAAACTATGTATAACTTTATAATGTATACTCCTTTACAGCGTTGTCAATGTTTAGTTGTAGAAATCCGACTGTCTCGCTTCGACGTCTTCACGGCATCATGTTCTCCATCAAGGTGGTGGTGCTTTTCGTCTCTTTTGCTCACGTCATTGAGGTTGGACTGAGTGATGATTCGAAGCAAGATAGACACCTGGAGGATCTACTTAAACGATTCATTGAGGCTCGCAACTCCAAACGTTTTGACAAGGCTGACTTGTTTGGCAGAACGGTGAGTCAGAGACGATGAGAGATACAGGAGTCTTAGTAAAGACCACTATTCGAAGCCCTCTAACCATAAATCTGAATCATGAC